CTTCCCTCCTGATGCTCATAATCAGTCGTGAAGACGGGATCACAAAAACAAGAAACACCAAGCGCCCTGAGTACCTTGGGGGAAGTACAAGCCGTTAGGGGAACATGCAGCAGAGGAAGCCGACCTAGTTAAGGGTAGGAGCGATGTGTTTCAGCTGAGGCCGGAGGAGGACAGAAGCAGCCAGGGGAGGAAGGGGAGGGACAGAACAACGGAAGGGCGACAGAGGGTCCCAGGGAGAAGGAAGAGCAGGTGGGAAGAGCAGAGGACATGGAGGGATGCGGCACGGCCGGGCTGAGGATGCTGGATGCCACGGTGGGAGGCGGGATGGGAGCTGGGATTCAGAGATGGCCGTGGGGCCGACAAGGAGCAGAGCGGCGCTGCGACTGAGCTCCGGCCACTCTCTGGGAGACAGACGGGGTGACCTGCGGGAGAGCAGCCTGCTGCGTTTGGTCCTGATCACACCGGAGGCGCGGCGGAGCCAGGGCAACGGCGCTGCTGAAAGACGGGAAACCACAGACACAGGGCAGGATGCTCAGAGCCAACAGGACGCGGCGTCCGAGCCAGGAAGCGAGTGAGGGGAAGGAAGAGAACGACCACTCCCGAGTTCGGAGCTGGAAGGGCGCGCAGCTGGGCAGGCTGACAATGGTGGGTTGGGAAAAAATGAAGTAAGAAGTTGGGTTTAGGACTTTGGGAGTTAAAGCACCAACAAGAACATGTCCTGATCAGCGCCCGTCACCAGTGGTCTCTGGGCTCCAGGAGTGGGGACCTCGCCTCTTTCCCAGACGGAGAGCCCCGCTGCCCGTCAATTTCATTGTTGGGACAGGCATCTGTTCTTACATGGAAACGACACCTGCCTCCGCATGACCTGTGTGCATCAATCCTCGTCCCACACCCAGGAGCAAGTCGCAAAAAACCTATTCCCTCTTACTGTCTTAGTCCCCTTTAAGTGGAGAAGATTCTGGTCGTTTCCAATTCACTGACACCAGATGCTTAGAATCCAAAGCCTGTAGGAGGAATGTCGGCACCCTGGCAGGTGGGCTTGGTTTTCACAACTTCATTTCATGCTGGAGGACACTCAGGCCCAGCAAGAGGAGCGACTGTGCCCAATCACCCAGCCGCTCTGGCTGAGCTGATTTTAGAGCCTGAGACACGTGACCCCTCCAGTGCTCTCTATGTCGCGCTGCTGCTGCGTGCAACCTGCCCCCACAACAAAATGTGGAGAGCGTCGGCGCCTTGCAGGGAGTGCCTGGCTCTGCTCTCAGGAGATCCGTTGAAATTAAACAGGGTTGAAAAATAAACCCACATAAAGTATGAACAGTATTTCCAGGAATACAGGCAGCAACACAGTTCCTTATTTATGACTTCACCTGCCACGAAACCAAAAACTCAAGGGTGTCAATAAATGGATCGGAACGTTGTTGTGATGTTTAATTACAGAGAAAAGAATGTCTCTGCAGGCCCTCTGGGAAAGGCACTGTCTGCGGCAACTGGCAGGGAGCTTCGTGGCGGTACTGCCTTTGTCTCCTGATAAACGCTCAGCCTCTTCTAGGGTCTCAGGACCTCTGGGTCTGGTGGGGTCAGAGAGGTCATCTTGTCCAATCACCCCTTCCCACGACACTGACCTCTGTTTGCACATCAGTCACGTCAAGTATTTCTCTACCTCCCGGGCAGCTGTTCCGGCTTTGGGCAGAGTGACCTCATTATGAAGAGCTGAACACCTGGCTCCCTGCCACATCCCTCCACAGATTCAGGGGCCATCAGAGCAATCCTGATCTCTCCTTCAAGGGACAGCCCTTTGTTTGCTGAAGTTGATCATGTACACCTTGAGCCTCTGCTTCTCCAAGGTAAACATCCCCAATTCTTCCCACAATTTTTTACGTGCCCAAGTTTCAATGGGCACTGTCATTCACCTAGATTTTCCAAAGTGTGCTGATGTGTCTAGATCATTCTAACAATGTAGGGACCACAAATAAATGTAGCTGCCCAACTGCACTGATACTCAGTAAAACAAATCTCTTGCCTTTGTCATTCTAGCTAAAGGACTGTGTTAATGTGTCCACATGACCTGGCTGCTACTTAATGCAGTTTGTGACTCGGTCCCCAGAGTTGGGTTTCTTCTTTAGTGTTGACAGATGCAGCACCTATACCCACTCCGCCATGTTGCCTCACTGTATTTTCTTCATCCACCCAGTTTCCCATAATCTATCTGCCAGGCTGGTGAAACGGCTCAAAGTCAACCCATCAGCTACTCCATCAGCCAGGGCTGGGTCAGGTAGCACAATGCTTCCAAGCAGCCTTCAAATCAGCATCAAACCAAAAACACAGCCAGGTATGAATTCTCCAAAACCCAGATCAACTTCTAGTCCCTTCTCTTTGGGAAACCACACCATTTGCCTTTGGAGGCCAGCCCTCCCTGCCATCCACATGACTCCATGTGTTTCGGGCAACTCTCCATGACCCTGTGACCAGAAACTGGCACGGGGCTCAGGGTTAACTAAAAAGTACCAGCCTCCCTTACCAGTCTCCCCCAATGAGAGTGACTGATTTCAGGATGAGTTACTACAGGCAATCCAATCAGAGGCAATATTGGGGAATTAGGGAAAGGAAGAAGTCCTCTTTCTACTGGGATCGGTAAGGAAGCCTCAGACTGCTTCTGTGCAGGAAAAGTCACCCTGACAGAAGCAAGGCAGAGAAAAACAGAACAAGGGGTGTAGAGAGAGATCTAGCCACAAAGTCCCTGGATCCAA